TTTAGAAAAAATTTTTTTAAAAAAAAGAAGAATAGAAAGCTTAAACTGGTCAATAAGAAATAGACTGAAGAAGAAAACAAACAAAACACCTCCCAAAAAAAGAAAAAGCTGGGGCCAGATAGCATCATGTGATTCTACCATACATTCAAAGAATGAGTACTAGTCCCTCTTAAACTCTCCCCAAAATTAAAAGGGACACTTCCAAACTCATTTTGAGACCAAGAAATTAAAGCCAGATAAAAATACCTCAAGAAGGCTACAAGCCAATATTCCTGATAAATACAGATCCAAAAATCCTCAGTAAAATACTAACCAAACTCTACAGTGTTTCAAAAATTCTATACTGAGCAGGACACTTGCCTGGACTTCAGTTTGTTTAATTTATGCAAATCAATATGACATGGCACATCAACAGGATGAAAGTAAAAATCATCATCTCGAGATACAGGGAAAGTATTTGAGATAGCTCAACAGTCATCCATGATAAAAGCTCTAAAAAAGTAGGTTCAGACTTTACTTCAGCCAGCTGAATATAATTTAGGAAGGCCAACAGCTAACGTAACAAATGAGGGAAAACAATCTATGTAGCACTAACTGGCCTGGAACTGCTGTGTAGACCAGATTGGCCTTGCACTCACAGAGTAGCCTGCTTCTGCCTCCCATGCACTGGGATTAGAAGTATGTACCACCATGCCCGGCTTTTTAGTTTTAAATTTTTAATTATTTTTATTTTATGTGTTAAACCTGCATGTACACAAGTGCACCTGTGTCATGTAGTGCCCACAGAGGCCAGAAGAGGGCATCAGATCCCCTGGAATAGGAGTTGTGGACGGATGATAGCCACTGGGTGCTCTGAAAGAGCAGCTAGTGCTCTTAACTGATAGGCTCTCTTCTCCAGCCCTTTTATTCTTTTGAGACACAGTCTCTCTATGTAATAATGTTCACTGGTCTTGAAACCATCATCCTCCTGCCTCAGCCTCTGGGGTACTAACCACTTCTTTGCAATATTATACTAGACAGCTTATAGGGAAGAAAAAGAGCATTAAATAAGAAGTAAAATTGCCTATCTGCATATGACACAATTCTGTAAGTAGGAAACTCCATTGCATTTAAAAACAAAAATCTGTTAGAACCAATAAACTAATCCAGGAAAGCTGAGGATGCAAAAATCAACATAAAAGATCAGTAGTTTCAGGGCTGGAGAGATGGATCAAGAATTAAGAGCACTTTGCTAGTCTTTAAAAAATATTTTTTAAGTTATTTATTTTATGTGTATGAGTGTTTTGCCTGCATGGATGTAAGTACAAGAACAAAGTTGGGAGACATCGTATTTAAGGATTTAAAATTCTGTTACAGAGCTGGACTGGTAAGATGATCAGCAGTTAAGTGCACTGACTGCTCTTGCAGAGGACCTAAGTTCAGTTCCCAACAGCTTCATGGTGGCTAACAACCACCTGTATCTCCAGTTCCAGGGGATCCAGTGCTCTCTGTGGGCACTGCATGACTCGGGTGCACTTACATGCGGGTAATACATTCATATACATAAAATAAAAATAATAAATTTTGTTTTAGTTCTGTTACAGAGCTAAAGCACTAGCGTTAAAACTGGCAGAGATTTTAGTGCATTGCTTAAAGAAAAAAAATTACAAAGGAACCATGTAATGAGATGGAATGAGCTTGACTGTAGCAATCGGTTCTCTGTGTGTATGTACATCAAGACATCCATTTTACATCTTAAATATATACACTTTTAAAGAATGGCAACTGAAACAAAAATGTCATTCATCCCCTCCATTTCCTCCTATGAGGACAAAGATTTGGTCTAATTAATCACTGTATCTTTAACACCTGTAGTGTTCCTTGACCTAGTAGACACTAAAATATCTGTTGAGTTTATGAAGAAAACAAACTTGGACATTTGACACTAACCAAAGAGAGCGAATACATGACCTGACTCAAAATTCCTACGGAAAGAAACTTAGCACATAATTGTTCCTGAGGTTCCCACCATAAGTTTTGATACCCGAACATTATCTAGGTGATACAGAAGTTTTCCTTGGTGATTATGGGAAAAACACTTCCCTTCTCTGTAGGCCTCAGTTCTCTCCTGTGTCAAGTACTGAAGCGTGAAGACTTTGCGTCTAGCGCATCTTGGACGCTTTAGGCGTTCAGAAACTATCTGATCACGAATCAAGGACTCAACACACGCACTGGGAGACAGAGGGAGGGAGAGAGGGAGAGAAGAGGGGAGCGGGGCAGGGGAGGGGGGAGGGACAGCGGAAGGGAGGGGGTAGCAGGCAGCCCCTTAATTTCAAATTCTGTTTAAGAAATAAACCCTGTGGTTTGTTTGGCTTACTGTGCACCTTTACGTTCTGTTTTAGGATAGGACCAAAAGAGGCGTTTGCTGACACCACGCCGGGACGCTCCGGCACGTGGTTAACAGGTGCAGAGGAAATGAGAAGGGGCACCGCTTTACCGTTAGGAGAGGCCCACGATCGCGGAGAAGCAGGCCCGAACTCTTGATCGCGGATCCCTAATTCAGACCCCTCGTCCTGAGGCTGAGGACCAGTGTCCCCTCTAAAGAGCACCACACCCTTCTGAACTTGTCCCCTCATGCGCCTCAGTTTCTCTCCTGACTTTCAGGGCACGTAACCCACTAAGCAATCTTCAGCTTTACCTGATTCGAGACCATAATTCTCTGCGTGTCGCCACGGGGACTATCCGCGACCAGCCTCTTCTAGCTACGCCCCCGACACACAGCGCCGCCATCTTTGAAGAGTGCTCGCTGAGTTCCCCTCACGCCGCCGCGATGTGCCCAGATCAACCAATCACATGCGAGCTTACTCTAGCGGTTCCTATCGTCGCCCTTACTCTATGCACACAGGGAAATGTAGTCCGGTTGTGCGGGCCCTTGGCATCATGGGAGTTGTAGTTGGAGGCTGTCCCGTGAAGGTTCCGGGTGACGCCTTCGGGTCCGGGGGCGGATGGTCGCAGTGCTGCTTGGCTGTGAGGAGGAACTGGCAGCCGGGACTCGACTCTTGCAAGGCCTGGAAGGCTGCGCAGCGGAGCCGGAGAGAGGGCTTGGGGTAGGGGGAAAGCCAGGCACAAAGTCTGATATGCTCCCGGGAACGTGACCGCTCAGGAAACCGAGGCAGGACCTGGCCGGACCCAGCAAGGGAGCCCGTCGTGGCCAAGCCTAATTTCCAGCCTCCGGCTAGGCCTCTATAGAGCCCCTTTTCTGTGTGGCCCCTATTGCCTGTCGAGGAGATGGCATCCCCAAGTCCCCCGCTGGAGCCAAAGGTGAGTCACCCCTTCGAGGGATCTCCGTTATCTCGCCTCTCCCTGGTTAGCTAGGCCGCACCACCACCTCTCCCCGCCCCCATCCCCTGGCCGCCAGCCCTAAGAAAGGACCCCAGCCTCCTGGTGTACCTAGTACTCCAGGGTGCAGTTCACTTACAAACTGCCCACTGGCTCCCGCGCTCCGTTTTTCCCCCCAAGAGCAAATTGATAAATCTACTGGAGAGAATTCAGAATGCTGCGTTGTGAATTCCTTCCAGGTGAGGCATTGTTTTTGACCCCTGTATCTTCTACTTCTGGCATGATGCCTGAACTTAGGGTAGGTGCCTAGAGAATCTGATGGTATTGAATGAAATTGGGTCACAAACTGATGTGGATAGAACACTGGAGGGGGACAGTGAGGTGAGGGAAGCTTGGAGAGGCTGTGGGGCAGTTAACTAAAATTAAGATACTTAGGAAACCAGAAAAGACCTTGCAGTTCAGAAGGCAAGATGGTCCAGACCATCTCCCGGTCCAAGACGCCTGTCTGTTAAAATCGCTTCCTGGCGCTGGGCACTTTTGGTACTCTTACCGTGCTCCTCCATGGTAAGTGATTGCTTCTGGCATCTTCAGTGACAGAATTGGCCTTGAGACAAGAACTGTCTGCAGAAATCTCACTATTCAAGGGTTGTTAACATTTGAGGATGTGGTTGTGTTTTTTACCCAGGAAGAGTGGGATTATCTGGATCCAGCTCAGAGAAGTCTGTATAAAGATGTCATGATGGAGAGTTATGGAAACCTGGTCTCGCTGGGTAAGAATGTGCTGTTTTTCTAAAATATTTAAGAAGGTACTAACATTTAATACCTAGAATGCTTCACTCAGTGCTACTAAAACCAAAACTGTTCTGTTCCAAAGTTCTGATTCAAATCTTCGAATCATTAGTTATTTCTATGACTCTCTTGTACCTAGCTTCCTGTAGTGGCCAAAATGCAAGCTTTTCTGGCTTCCTAATCTTATTCCCATATTGCTCTGTGCTTTCCTTCCTGGTTTATCTTCCCACTGCTTTCCTCCCACCCCTTTTGCCTCGGCCTTCTGGAACCCCAATTCCTCTTTACACAATGTTCCTTATTCCTCCTGGCCTACACTGAAACCTGGCACATTTCCAAGGACACCACTTGGCTGGCAGACCTTCCAGGGGGAGCTGCCCCTTGTCTGGGTCCTCCTCCCCTTCCTTTGTGTCAAGGCTGGAAGGGGCAGGTTAGTTGTTCTAACTGCTTTTCAGTGCTATTCCCGAAGCCTTAGTTTTCTACTTTCAAACAAAAATATCCTCACAGTGCCTCAGCAGACTTGCTCTACCCACTCCGTTCTTTTTCATCATCATCTATGAACAAAATTTTTTTGGTCCTTCGCTTCTAACTTTATCACGTGTTTTAGTTTCTCCATCTCATTAGACAGTGCTTGAGCCTCCATGGATCTGGATCGTGCAACTCAGGAACCCTACTTTCCATGCTTATCTAGCTACCAGTGTCATTGATCATTCCCTGCACTATAACAAGCAAGTCTGTAAACACACTATCCTGGTCTCTGACCTCTTAATTCAATAGTAGATGATTGTTGACTAGACTTTCACAGAAACAACCAGAACAGAGATGCCTCCTGCCCTTGTTTAGCTTAACTGTGACCTGCCTGTCCATCACTCCCTCACCTTCCCACCTAAACCTGTTCATTCTTCATGTGCTTCCTGCCCTTTAATGTACCTCTGCCTCCCTAAGGTGTCAGTCCTTTCCTGGCTTATTACCAGCATGTTGTGTGGCCTCTTTGATATTATGCTATAATCATTCTGCAAATTTCAGATCCTGTGTTTTTTTTTAATAAAGTCTTCCCTTTTTTCCCCACTCTGCTACCTAATTCCCAAGCACAGCAAGAAAAATTCTCTAAAAAGATTCAAGTCCTATATGTTTATGTATATATTTTTTCTAATTCACTTGTTGTTTACATCTCAGCTTTTTTTTTTTTTTGTCTGTGATATATTAATTTTAGTAACAATTTCAAAATTTAGAACTTTC